TCTTTGTGTGAACATTTGGGCGGTGTTATGCAAATCTTCCCACATAGTGTGGTAGATATGTGGGGGCGTGTTCGAACGAGCCGTTTTAGGTAGGTGTGGCTGACTCTTAACTTTTATAAAGAATATCTCTTTGGATTTGAGACTTTAGTCTTTGCAAATTTACAGATCTTCTTTATGCACCAAGAGCTTGTAACACTCCAAAGAGAAAGGAAAAAATGAAATCGCATCATATGACCCCTTTAAAGAAATCAAAGAGTTGATAATATTGAGAAGAGGTTATAGGAAACACTTATTCAGTAACTTGGTTGAATATAAGAGCTATAAGTTAAACAATTTCCACTTTCACACAGTAATTTTCACTTGGTAATGTGAGTGAATCACTTGGACTGTAGAGCATTGAAACAGAGCAACTGAAAAAAGCAACTGAATAATTATGTAACCATTTTTGTTTCATAGAATGTCTCTAACACTTAAATGTTCCAATAGATCACATCAGCTAACTCCCAGTGTCTATGAGGACATGCTTTGATCCACTCCTCCCTGAATGACAGAAAAACATGGCCATCTGAGCATCTTCTGAGCGAACAGACAATTTCATGCTGACCCTAAGATAACCCTCATGCTGCTGTTCTCATTTCACTGTTCAAACTGTAATTGTTGAAAGTAAAGAAATTAACACAGTTATTGTTCATGTTGCATGTAATGAAGCAAAATATGTACGTATTTTAATAAGTAAATGGAAATAAATGTAGAAATGTAATGTCTTGTTCCGAAAAATAAAGAGTTTTCTCTAAATTACCCTGGTGTAGTATCATATTGTTATATATGTGAGTTTACAGTCCTTTCAAAACCTGTTGTTGGGTGTTTACAAGCTGCAAACCTCTATATAAGCTGAGAGGGGAAGAGTTCATGAGTAAATAGCATTGCCATATTTTGCATATTTACATTTTTGCCTTTTTTAGATGATTTTATCCAAAGCAACTTAAAGTGCATGCAAGGTATATATTTTGACAGCTGTGCGTCTGGAAATCAAACCAAAGGCATCGGGGTTCCTTAATAAGTGAACCAGGGTTACAATACATACATAATGAGAAGTTCCCTTTCATAAATTAATTTGACGCTACTCAGTAGCTGACGCTATAGGAACCTTATACTGCAGCACCAAGCTACCATTGCCTGCCATTTAAGCACAACATAAACTGACTACTGTTAAAAACAGATAAAACCTAAGAACCAGAAGTCAAATCTACCTCTAAATTATTAAACCTAATAAAAGTTTTATAGAGAGGTCCAACTCAAACACGGCTTTGTGGGGGAAGTGTCCCCAAGTTTATTTATTCAAAACATGTATGTAATGCAAAGTTAGAAATGTAAAAAATTTTAATGATTTCTTTTAAAAATCACCTTTAAAAACATTGTCTCCAGTAGTAAATCTTTATTTTATTTATGTATTTATTTTCTTTCGCCAATTCAGGTGAGATTTATCCTGTGAATTGAACATCCGTTCCAATCAACAAGTAGTCCTGTGGGGGTGGGGGGTGGGAAGGAAAATAAAATTATTATTATTATTATTATGACAACATAGTCTCTATATAAAAAAGTATCACAATGATATATATACAAGCTTACCTTCAGGACCTGGAGTTGACTGTTTACAAGCTGCATCTTTCCAATGGCAGGAAGTGGATAACCTTCCTGTAAACGAGCTGAAAAGAAAAGGCCCATGAGTAAATAGCAATAAAAATGAAAGAAAAATAAGTTTTTCACTTAAAATGCCAACAAGAAATAATAATAATAATAATAAAAACTCTTACCATTAACCTTGGGAATAACAGCAAACTTCAAGACTATTGTGAAAATATTGTCAAGGGATGTCACCTGTTGATTTAAATTTTATGATGAGATTCTGAATTATTGCTTTCAGATCAGTTTTTAATACATTTCCTAGTTTCTTCTTACCTGGAATGGTCCCACATAGCTTTTTGCTAAGCTCATATCAATTCTGTTTAAGAGAATTATAGTTTGTTTGTATCAATTCTTTAATAATTTAAGAACATAAACACATATCCAGCTGTATATGTATAGACTGCAATTATGGCTCCAAAACTCACTTGTTAAGGGTCAGGTTTCCTGCCAGTTTGAGCTCAGTCACATATATGTGAGTACTGACACTGGCCTCCTGTTGGTTGAAGGGAAAATCCATTACATTAAGAAAAAAAAAACATACCTCATTTAAATTACAAATTTGGTTATTCCTCATCCTGGTGTGACTCACCAGATTGAGAACAAAGAGTGGAGATAGTGTGCTGTTGGGCTGAATTGCATAAGCTGTCACTGTACTGCTGGCCTGAACAGTCATGTTGTTCGGTTCAAATGTCATGAGGGGCTCCTTCACTGTCTCAACCAACAACTTCATCATCAGACCAGGATACATTTTCTCAATCTGAAATGAGTAATCTTAGAGTAATTTGTGTGTGTGTGCGTGTACCTGGTATTCCCAACGTTATGGGGATCAAATGTCCCCAGAATGATAATTTTGTAATTCCAGTAAATTTTTACCTTGTGGGGACATTTTTTTTTGTCCCCATAAGGTAACAAGAATATAAATCATACAGAATTATTTTTATTTTTTGAAAATTGTGTGAGGATTAGGGTAAGGGGACAGAAAACACAGTTTGTACTGTATAAAAATCATTAGGCCTATGGAAAGTCCCCATAATTATAGGAATATCAGTTTTTGTGTGTGTGTGTGTGTGTGCATGTGTTTTGAATTTATTGACTGAACATGTCTATTTATTTTCATACTTGAGGAATGAATCCTCCAAATGTCTTTGTGTTCAGACGAATTGGAGAGCCAGAGGGAATCTGCAAAAAACAAACATATAGTAAATTTTAAAAGTAGCTGCTCTCAGCTAGACTTCTATGAAGAACAAACCAGCAGATCATAGTTCTGGCCATTCTAGTTCTGTCATCACTGTATTGTATATAATGGAAGTCTACAAGGAAATCCCAGATGATGCAGTGACAATTCTTAAAAGGTTTGTAATGCCTCTATTTGACAGAACCAGCACCTGCACCAAGGTGGACCATTCTCTTGGAAGTTTGTCAAGAGAAAATTCTAACAGAGTGGTCACATCTGAGGGAAGACATTGCTGCCAGACCCTGTGTTGTGATCGCCAAGTATATGGGGGTGGGTGATGACAGAAAAAATTTAGTAGCCCTGCTGGAAATTAATTACACATTTGAGCAGAAATCTTCCCATGGTAAATGGACAAGACCTCTGCTGCTTGCCCCATTGAAATGGTTATTTCAGTGAGTGTTGTTCCAAACATGCACCAGACCCATTTAGCTCAACAAATTCCATTATATCTTCTCCAAATTAAAAATATGTATGGAAATAGTGCCATTGATACAGTGATGATACAATGGAATTTTCAAATGAAGACTGATGAAAACCCCAAAATTCAAAGATGAATAGACAGAGAAGTTTCTATGGTGTTCTTGCTTAAGTGTGTTAAACCTTGAGTCATTTGTTCATATTCATTCAGTTTAGGATCAGATATTGCTATTTTTGATGTTATTTTGGTGTTTCCAAAACTTAAATCAGGCTTACCCTTTTTTTCTTATTTGTAAATAAGTAATTGATGTTTTAGCAGTCATTACCGTGCTCAGGCTCATTCAGACATGACACTCTTATTTTTAATGTTTGTTCTTGAATTTATGACTCAAACTGTAATGTAATGTCTGTGTGCCAAAATCATGGCAATCCCTTATTGACAATCTTTCAAAAAGACAGCTATTGCACATCTATTGAACTTTCAGATTTGAGTGATTCTTCACATTTCATTCATCTCACCATGTCGTCAGTGATGTAGAGGCGGAGGGCACCAGCTCTGTTGTACACAAAGCCTGCTGAGTTGATGGTAAAGGCAGATACTCCGATGTACAGCATATCTGTGTCCTGAGACGGCAATGAAAAAGGTGTTGGGGAAAAGGGGGGTTCCTTGTGTTGTCCAATGTTGTAGAATTCACCCTATAAAGTGTGAAAAACATCTAAATTCAGTTATTTTGTTATGTGTTTAAAAAAATATCACACATGGTAGTGCTTAAGATTACCTTTAAACCCAAGTCAATGGAAGTATTAGAAATGTCAGGAGACCCCACCATGGAGTATTCAATTTCAGCATATTGATCTACTTTGGCTAAAACTGGAGTCAACAACAGAAATGTAATTTTTTTTGTATGTACTAAAAAAATGTATTGAATGATGCTGATTTTCATACCAAGTCTGAAATGCCAATAATTGATAAATAATGATTTATCATATCACCATTTAATGTTTTCAGGTGGGGGTTTATGTCAGCAATGGAATCAGCCACCAAAGGGCAGATCTGAAATGGCAGATAGATTGAATGTTAAACTCCGGTATGTCTTACATTGCATCTCAGTTTTTGTTTAACAGCACACATTTAGTGTGTAATAAAGAGGGCATTCACAGCCTAAATTCCTTACCTGTTTCTGCAGAGCATTGCGTAAAGCCTTATTAATGAAGGAACTGAAGAGGTTATATAACCAGCTGTCATGAAAACAGGAAATAAAAGTGCAAAAATGAAATGTTTGTTCTAACACAGTCGTTAGGTGTAAACTGGGTTTCAGTTGTTTAATTCTTTGGTCAGATAATATCATGGATTCTTGACATTTTTTTATTCACTAATATTCAAAAGTTAGAAATGTTTAGTCCAACAAATAAATTGATGAGCTTATCAAATGTCATTGATGAGCTTATCAAAAGAGTTAAGAAGTAAATTCTTACTCTATCGCATTTAAAAGTTACAAACAACTGTGTCCCATTCTCAGGCATACAACCATATGACAAGATTTACTATAGGAACATTTTTAAAAGGTTATCTGTTGTCATCCAAAGCTAACCCCTACTAAGTGATCGCTTAACTGCTTGAGGTGAACAAACATTTCTGATACTTATAAGAATATATATTTAGACTCCTACGTCCTGCCATTGTCTCGCTATTTTCACTTCCATCAGTTAAAAAACAGTAAAGGATTGCACTTCCTCAGAGATCTTCCTCTTTTTAAATGTTACATAATATTTGTAGAGAAGAATCTTTGTACAAAGCTAATTTGTGGACTTTAGCAATTAACTTTGGCTTGACTGCTGTGTATTAGTTTCTCAGTATTACCTGGCCCCACCATGAAATTTGACATTGACACTCCCCACAGTTGCTGCACAGTTGGTCATGCTGACTGTTGGGCGGCCAGTGTCATCACTTGTGACTGCAACAGTGGTGCTAATGGTCAGTTCACTCACAGCCAGATCAAATGATCCACTGTCTTTTCTGTGTACAAAGAGATCAGATATTATATAGCGTCATTTACATTATTCCTGAATTTAATTCGTTCATTTAGCTTAGTGTGAATTAGTAATGTGGACACTCAACTTACATGATCCTGAGGTATTTGACTCTCCAGTTTCCATGCAGATTGATGTAGGCATTGCCAATTGAGAGGATGACTCCAGTGTCAGGAACTAACGCCAGTGCTGACTTGGGAAGTCCCAGGTTTACAATCTGCATCCTAATAGGTATATCAGAGAAGCTTTTGCTATATGCTATTATAAGCATATTCCCAACAATCCAATACCTCATCCCTACTTTTCTTCAATGCCTTTCTAACCTCATATGTTCAACACTTTGTTTCATTAAAAATGTAGAAAATAATGTTTACTATTCACCAAATAATCCTGTCAAAGTGGCATCATGTATTTTTTTGTAATTTTGCAAGGCCAAGTAAATATCTCTTTTATTACTCCATCTTATTTGTTTTATTTGTCAGTGTAAATCAGTATTAAACAATCCTAAAATGCCAACACTGAAAAAAACACTTCAAATCATGTGGAGTATACAAATCAAATGGAAATCATGTGTTTCAAAGAATTTCTCAAAGGTCATTTTGAATGTGTCAACTAAGTTTAACATTTACATAGTAGGAACTTATAGGACCATGAATTAAAATTGACATTGATCTCACCCTGTAAAACTATATTGGACTTTTCCAACAGGATCCACCTTTTCTGTACCACTTATATCCGGCACTTTAATAGTTCTGAGTTTCTGCTGGATTGAGGCAATTCCAATCTGTCGACCTGCAATCAAAACAAAGCAACATTTAGAAGCTGTACCTCAGAATGAGTGCCCTGAGATCTGTCTCACAATGCAGGTTTAAAATGCTACCTGGAACAATTTTATTTTCAATCTTATTAATTTTTTTTTGTTTTGTTTTTTTGCCCAAAGTTCATACCCATATTACTGTATACACAGTCACATGCATACACTGATTACCTAGAAGTTAATCAAAAAGTTTAATAAAGTTCTTTCAGCTTGTTTTTTGAGACAGGCCTCTGACCTATCCACCCTGATATCGTTATTAAGGCATGAGAGATAAAGAAAGAAGGCCAAACTCTGTACATACACATGATCTACATGTCCATTCAGTGTTTTTCACCCAGAGTTTTTGAACCATATGGTAACTAGATTTTGTTCCATAACATCAGATAAATTACAGATTTTTTTTTTTATTCCAAAGGGTTACAAGAAGTACTGTTTTGCTTACTTACCATACTCAAGCCCCTTCTGAGTTAGTCTGACTTTAACTCCTGCATTGGTGCCTGTAGCGACAGAAACCAGGTTCACAAGAACCAGAACACACCAGAGGAACATCGCTTTCAATCTAGCCTATGAGAGACACACATCATGGGCATAAGATAAGTGTTTTCAACTGTCAGAATAGAAGATCCATGTAATCGGCTCCAGTCTAATCCAGTTGTTTCTATTTTAAACACAGTGACACCGTTAATACAACTGTATTATCAGCTCCTGTCCTGTCTAACCAAATCAGCAACCAGCTTTTTTTTGTGCCTAAACTTGCGATATCTCCCTAGTAAACAAACTTGAAACTGGCAAATAAATTGATTATAAAGAAAATATTCACCTTTCTGTTTGTAAACCTTTTTGATCTCTGTTTTCAGCCTAGGTAGTTAGGGAAGTGAACTGTACTTTATTTTATAATTTTTTTTGGTTAGGTAAGATAGAGGTTTAAAAACTAATAACGTTTTGTTTGTTATTTTGGCCTTGCCAGCTCCTGAACTTAAACTCCCAATAAACTTGTTGCTGCAAATCTTTTGTCCATGCAAGTTATTTCATGTTGCGCTTCTTCCCTAGATGGGGCGTAACAGTGTCTACATGCTTAACATGCTAGTTGTGAATCTGTGAATTTGACATGTAAAAGCTATATCATACAGCCTAAGTTAGCTTTTCTGAACCTAATTACAGTAAGCGCCCATATATTTACAGTACATAATATATTAAGTGACCACATAATAGCCTATCATTTGACAGCAACTACAGGCTCTCTGCTTTTGCTGGAGAATAAGGAAATGGCTGAGATAAGCAATGTCCTGATTTGTTATGTTACTCTGAAAGAGACCTTTGTCTTGCAGTCAGATAAAGCCACATGACTGTGAACAAGTTGATGCTTACACTGAATTAAGACGAGCTAGAATTTAAAAACTGCAGATAAGACAGGACAGTGTCAGCCAGACAGGAATGTGTCATGTGACTTGGGTTTATTTCCTGCTATATAAAAAAGCATAAGGTATACAGTAAAGCTTTTATTCATCTTTTACAAAGTTTGGACATTTTACACCCATATTTTGTATATCAAAATGAACCATATGTGTAACACAATACATGATATATACACAAAATGTTGGTTAGCATAGATCTCTTATGCAGAGCCATAAACACAAGCAAAGCAATTTTGAATATAAATGACACAATCTGTAGAAAACCCTTTCATTATCATTACATATCTGATCTTAGCAGATCAGAAAATAAAGAATATGTAGGCTGGTGTTGTTCAGATAGATATAAATATAAATATATGTGCACTGACCTTAAACTGTTGTGAAGTGCTAAATGCTTGGTCTCTTCCTGTCTGGATGCGTGAACTGTCTGCTCTCTAGCTGGCAGCAGCACTGAGTGAAACTGGAAGAGAGACATTCAACACTGATTCGAAGCAACAGGAAGAGACTCTTTTCAAATTCACTTAAACAGTGACATGCTCTAGTGACCATACACAACTTGAGGAGACAAACCATTCATCAATTAACATTATTATTCAGAAATTGTGGTTCGTAAACTTTGCATTCTTTTAATTTTCCGAATAAATAGAACCACAATGCTATGATTAAAGAAAATGGAAATTGTAAGTAAAATGCTTTACTTTAGATTGTTGGTGTCCATCAGAGATGGCAAACGTACACTCATCCTTCACTCAAGCAGAAGTACAGATACTCATGTTTAAAAAGACTCTGGTAAAAGTTGAAGTACTGACTACAATTTTTCACTCAAGTTAAAGTAAATAAGTATGGGCTATGACATGTACTTAAGTAAAAAGTAGCTATTACCACTATCTGTTTTAGTGTCATGCTTGTAACTGGACCTCATATCATATTAATACATTAATACAAAAGAACTTACATTTCAAATTTTGTTTGCTAATGAATGTATCCAGGCTGAACAAACACTATGTGGAACACAAGCAGAGAAAAGACTAAGCTGAGAAAAAAAAAACGATTTGCCATCACCTAGACCACATCCTATTGTAGGGTGATTCTGCCTCTTATCCTTGGAAACAACTCAAAATTACTATTATGCTTTAAAATTACTAAATTGTGGTGAGTTATACTGTACATTTAAAGGGTTACTCCACCCCAAAATGAAAATTTTGTCATTAATCACTTACCCCCATGTTGTTCCAAACCCGTAAAAGCTTTGTTCGTCTTCGGAACACAATTTAAGATACTTTGGATGAAAAGCGGGAGGCAGCTTGGCAGCTTGGTGACTGCCAAGTAAATTGCACTGTCAAGGTCCAGAAAAGTATGAAAAGTATGAAAGACCGTCAGAATAGTCCTGAATTTTATGAATCTGAATTTTTTGAAGCGACGAGAATACTTTTTGTACGCGAAAAAAAACAAAAATAACGACTTTATTCAACAATTCGTCTCCTCTGTGTCTCTCCGCATCACTGTAGCGCCATTTTGGAGAATAACCACTGAACGCAAGCAGCGTACGCTCTTCTGTGTCAGCTGCGACACATAAAATTCAGGACGTTTTCTACATGTATTTACGCTTTGATTTGAACGAAAACAGTGCATCCCGCTGCTTGCGTTCAGTGGTTATTCTCCAAAATGGCGCTACAGTGATGCGGAGAGACACAGAGGAGACGAATTGTTGAATAAAGTCGTTATTTTTGTTTTCTTCGCGTACAAAAAGTATTCTCGTCGCTTCATAAAATTTAGATTGAACCACTGATGGCAGATGGACTATTCTGACGATGTCTTTCATACTTTTCTGGACCTTGACAGTATAATTTACTTGGCAGTCAATGGGACAGTCACAAGCCTCCCGGTTTTCATCCAAATATCTTAAATTCTGTTCCGAAGACGAACAAAGCTTTTACGGGTTTGGAACGACATGGGGGTAAGTGATTAATGACAATTTTCATTTTGGGGTGGAGTATCCCTTTAATTGAAATGCAAACAGAAAGAAAATTATAGTGCAATTATAATTTATACTTACTTACCCCTGTTAACATGCAGGGGGCCTATAACTATAAATCATTAGAAATGTCTAAGGTTTTATTCTAAAATATTAAATTAGTATCATTAAAAAAATGGTGAAGGTCATTTCTTAATTTTTGTCGGGAAATCTTATGTATCCACTGAGAGAAAAAATAATTCCTGTACTCCTCTCTACACTTGAGAAAAACGTATAGCTATGGATGTTTATTTCCAAATTCTTTAGAGAAAAGTGTTCTTTTTACAATTTTTACCCAAAATAGGGTGTTTGTGAGCATTAGTGAGTACACACGTAACTCGTAGCCAAAGGGCGCACTTGCACAGAAACTCCACAAGTGAGACTCACAGAAGTAGGCTAATATCTTTGTCCATATAAGGAAATACCGTATATGGACAAAGGCAAGGCATCCAGCTATCGCTGTAGCTGAATAAAATGCAGATAGAGACGTTTTACCTGATGAAACTTCAATACAGTAAACATACGATTGCAACAATATATGGTTTATCTGTGTTCTTCAAGCCATCTCTGGTATTTTTAAGAATAAAATATATCTATAATGCATTGTTAATTAATTTCTATCACTGTACAGAATACTATAAAATAGCATGATTTCTGCCTCATTGTCTGATATGAAACCATGTCAGATCACAAAAGAAAGTTATTTCAAACACTCGACTGATGTTATTAAGTGAATGTGGACTAAAAACGTGATTAAATGTTCTGGTTACAGGTTTGTAAACAGGCTCACACAGATTGCAAAACTGTATTGCACACATGCTACTGTGGTAAATTTATTCATCGCACAAACCGGTTTTTAGTAGCACGTGCGACATGTATGTGCCCTGTAGCCCTGTGAATGTCTCAGTCATTTATATATATATATATATATATATATATATACTGTATATATAGTGTCACGGTAGGTTCCACAACAGAGGGGTGCAACTATGAGGCTTAAAATAAGGAACAGGTGAGACTAATAGTGGAGCCGACAGGAAGAGGAGGAAGAGACCACAGAGACCAACTGACAGAGTGGCGTGATAGCTGGAGGGATGAAGGGCAATGGCAGAGCTATTGGAGGTGTGAACCAGGGCAGAGCCGGGGAGACAGAAGACCGAAGCAGACTCAAGGGATCTGAGGACCAAGTAGGAGCCAGGGGGATGGAGGAGCCCTGGGACCACTGGACTAAGCTAGAGCAGAGGAGAAATGCAGAGAAGAAAAAAAGAAGAGGATTTGTGTGTGTATGTGTGTACCTGGTATACCAAATGTCCCCACAAGTATAGTAATTCAAGTAATTTTTGATGTTGTGGGGACATTTTTTCGTCCCCAAGAGGAACAAGCTTCCAGTGGCAGTCCTGAAAGCCAGCATCAAAACCTTAAATTTGATTGTGGCCGCAACTGGGAGCCAGTGGAGAGAGATCACGAGGGGTGGGATGTGCATCTTTTTTGGCTGATTTAAAACATTCAGCCTTCTGTTCTGGATCTTCTACAGAGGCTTGGTTGCATTGGCTGGAAAGCCAACCAGTAGGACATTACAGTAGTCCTGTAGTCCCTCTGAGAACCACTGAATTTTGGGACCAACGGACTGGAGACATCAGGGACCAGTGGGACCCTGAGACTTGGAACTACTAAGAGAGCAAAGGAATGAAGAAGGAGTTCTTCTTCTCCTCCCTTTTTTGAGGAAGCTGCAACAGTCTCAGTTGGCTCTGCCACTAGCTCTAGGATTGACAAAGCCTCTGGCTAAGTACCCATGCAGGCGTGAGTGCAGGCTGAGACTGGGTCTGATTCAAAAATGGGCCAGAGCAAACACAGTTTTCACGAATGCATGTTTTTAGTTTACACAAAGACAATAATGGTATCGTTTTCAAAAACTTTAAAACCTTTTTTCAAAAGTCTGCGTATTCAGGCCCCCAAAATGCTATTGTTTAGTTAATGCATTTGTATAGCATTTTTATGTCAACATTATCAACGCCAAAGCACTCACGTCCTTGTAGAAGTCGTAATTATAACTTGCTAGCTGGGAATCTTCTGAGAGCTATGACTAGGCCAACATGACCGCTGTACCACCTGACCGCCGCAGATTCATTTAGGCTTTCAACTTAGGCATTGATGTTGCCTTAGAAATGCATCATTTTGAGGACGTGGATAGCTCAGAGTAGAATGTCATGTGCTGTTATTTATACTGATAGACAGCTATCTAGCGCTACTGTTTGGAACAGCATACCATTATATTTGTCATTAGATAGTTTACAAGTTTTGAACAACAAACGACAATAAACAGATTTTGGGAGAGCCTGAACGTTGCTTTACATCAGGGGTGTAAAACTCAATTCCTGGAGGGCCGGAGCACTGCAGAGTTTTGTTCCAACTCTGCTCCAAAACACATACCATGTAGTTTTCAAATAATCCTGAAGGATTTGATTAGTTGGATCAGGTGTGTTTAATTAGGGTTGAATCTAAACTCTTGCCTTGTCCAAATACCCACACTTGCGGTCAGCTGGGAATCTTCTGAGAGCTATGACTAGGCCAACATGACCGCTGTACCACCTGACCGCCGCAGATTCATTTAGGCTTTCAACTTAGGCATTGATGTTGCCTTAGAAATGCATCATTTTGAGGACGTGGATAGCTCAGAGTAGAATGTCATGTGCTGTTATTTATACTGATAGACAGCTATCTAGCGCTACTGTTTGGAACAGCATACCATTATATTTGTCATTAGATAGTTTACAAGTTTTGAACAACAAACGACAATAAACAGATTTTGGGAGAGCCTGAACGTTGCTTTACATCAGGGGTGTAAAACTCAATTCCTGGAGGGCCGGAGCACTGCAGAGTTTTGTTCCAACTCTGCTCCAAAACACATACCATGTAGTTTTCAAATAATCCTGAAGGATTTGATTAGTTGGATCAGGTGTGTTTAATTAGGGTTGAATCTAAACTCTTGCCTTGTCCAAATCCCCACACTTGCGGTCTTGGCCACTTGAGAGCGCGTGCGCGCCACAGGAAGTGCGCAAGACTGTCCCAGGTCTTAAAAACGCCAAAGCGCAGTACTGGAGCAGTATTCGAGGCTTGGTGTATGCATCATGTTCTGGAAATAAATTGTGAGAATTTTTGCCGAGATCTTGCGAGAGGTCTCAGAAACCTTTCCAATGTATGTTAAATATTATTAATAATTAGATATTACATATCATTTGATTTTAAAATGCAAAGTATTGAATATAAATCTCTGTAAACACTTGCATTTTTACAACACTATACGTGTGTCCTATCAGGTAATGAAAAGTTCTACACACACTTGTGGTCTTCATGCTCACTTGAACACTTGGACCAAATACAGGAAATACGTCATATAAGTAGTCAAGTGGTTAGGGTTAGGGTAGGGACAAGGCATCTGCAGAGCTCAGGCCCTCCAGGAATTGAGTTTGACACCCCTGCTTTACATAATGAACGTTACAAAATGTTTTTGTTGAGTCATGGCGCCATCTTGTGGTGTGATTGACTGGAACACACTGAGGTCGGAGTTAGGACATTTTGACTTCTCCATCTCCCATTGTTTCCTGTCTCTCCTCCTACTGACCTGACCATTAAAGGTTAAAAACCGTAGTGTAATCAAAAAACAAAAAAAAACTCTAAGAAATAAAACCTTTTCATAAAAGACAAGTAAGACTATAAAGAGTTCTTCCATGTTTCTCATGACCCATTCTCATTTTGGGCTCCTTTCTCTCAGAACTTTCTCATGTCTCAGTTGTGTCAACTTTCATTTCTCCAAAGGAAGACACTGTTGATACTTTCTTTTGTTTGTTACGCTGACATTGTTAAGTCATTGTTCACATCATCTCACATTTCTAAACACGATATTTTTTCCTCTTATGGTTAAGTGACTAATGCCTTATGTTTGGATTTTCACATATGTTGCCGCTGTTAATGTTTTATTATTTTGGAATGTTATGCATAATTTTTAGCTCACAAGACGAGGTATTTTTCCCTCATATATTTGAGTTATTGGTGCCTTATTCTTCCATGATTGTGTCATCTACTCAAATTTCTGCTTTGTAAGCATCTTGTTCCTGTGCATTTTTATATGAGGGTTTTTGCATTTTATTTGGCTCACATCAGAGTAGGATTTTTCATCTTCATTATTTCCATCTCCATCACATTTCTGCTTTTTGGTACCTAGTTCTTGTGCATTTTTTAAATATCTGAGTTTATTCATATATATCTCACCTCGGAATAAGATTATTCTGCCTCTTATGTTTCAGTCATTAGTGCCATATTGCATGTTTCAGTCTTCTGTGCATTATATTTGAGTGTTTTCATCATCTCCTCAAATTCAAGAAACTTCCTGTACGTTTTCTTATTTTGGATTGCATTACATAACAAAACAAGTGTCATCAAAACAAATTATGTTATAACTAACTGTAATTGTATTGTTTTCTGAGCCATTTAGCAATAGGTTTTGATCATATTTGGTAACCAAGCGGCAATTTTATTGTACTGTTTTATTGTACACCATTCACATCCATACAGTATGTGAATGGTGATGAGTAAAAACATGAGAATGCAAGCATATGCATAAAGAATCTTTGCTGTGTATGAAAGTTCTGGTTTAGCAAACTCTGACTTATGAAAAAAGCATTTGAAAATAATCAAAACTGTCGATTTATATATATATATATATTAGTAGATGTCACTAATGAGCTCTATTAGCATGATTTTCATTTCCATGGTAACAGCAAATTCTCTGTTGGGTGGATCTCTCTTAGGATTATGGTTAGTATAGTTATCCATCAGTAATTTAAGTTAAAATCATACTGACTTATGGCATCTACAAACGTGTACACTATCACCTATCAGTTCATTGTTGGTCTTTATATCGTATCTACGAAACAAAATTGTGTTCAATAGTAAATACAATTTTAAATGTATTTATTATTTATATTATTCAAAATCAGAAGTCCTGTGAGGATCATGATTTCATATTCTGTTGACCATATTCATTGCAGGGTCAGAACGGCTAGTGGTGGTTAAGGAATTGAATAAATATTTTGAACAGTTGTTACTGTTTCATTGTTCAAAACCTAACAATCTTCTGAAATGTTTTTAAAGGAGGAAAATGTGCTTGTGAAATCTTTCTTTAAAATAAATCCCATTTACTTTGATAATTTATCTAATGCAGTGACATTCAGACATTTCTCAGTTTGACTTAAGTACATACTTACACACTCATAACTAAACATTTGAAAAAGTGACTGTAAAACAAGGTAAAATATTTTTTTTGTGTTTAGAAGATGCTAGCCAGTTGGGAAGGGGCAAGGCCAGAGTTCAGGATGCACAGGTCAATCCTGTGCAGCTGTGACCAAGCAAACCATGCTGGGTCATGCATGAGTGGTGACTCGTGACAGGGTGTGTCTCCTCATGCAAACACTCCTCGGAGAACACACACCCATAACCCTCATCTGACCTTAAGGCGGTTTATCACTAGTGCAAATGCACAGCTTATGAAATTGAAATTCTCCATAAGAAAGAGAGAGAGAGATACATAGATATAGTAGATGCTCTGTTCCAAAACCTAGTTGATTTTAAATTTAGACATCATAAGCTTAGTCCAAACACAAAGGGTGTTCCAAAAGAAGCAACAATTATTACTCAATCACTCAGCCCCTTCCAAATATTAACAAGATGTTTTACAGAAAGATGAGTTTCGTAGACTGCGAACATGCTAACATGAACTCACCAAAAAGGGGATTATGAAAAAATTATAATAATGAACTAAAACACATCCTCCAAGCTGACACAGCTGATGTGTTTTTAAAGCCCTCTGGTGGATGGAAAATTGATTGCCTGACCAGGTCTTATTTGGACATTTTGCACTGACAGCTATCATGAACTGAACTGATAAGTGCATTTAATCAGAATTTGTCCTGCTTCAGCACTTCTTTTTATGGACTGCACAGCATTCGCTGGTCTCTGCCAGACTTTCTCGTTGGGCTAGTTACAGAATGCTCTCCATTTTCCATCTTTTCAAAGCAACCCTCTTTTCTGTCTCATAAACAATGATTGAGATTTAGATTGTACATTTGGGTGGGTAAAGCGGTCTATTTATTTATTTTTGCATATACATTTTTGGGGACAGGTGCTCAATTGGAAAAAAGACTCAATTTTTTAAAAAGATAAAAGATTTATATTATATATAAATAAGGTTACATACTGTTGAACATCTTTTAATGTTCATGTTAGCTAACTGCATTTGCTAATGTCTGCATTTGGTTTCAACTGATTGTGCCCATAAAAGTTTTGACACAAATTACAAAACAAACAAAAAAGGCCTCCCCCGCTAAAGTCATTCAGTAATTAAACACACAGGTTGTAAACACAATGAACACTTCTAAGACTCTCTCTATCTCTCTATAACCCTCCTAGTAATGTCCCTCCCTTTACCGTGCTCTGTTGCTCTTGTATCATTTGGTCGGTGCCTTACCGAGAAGAAGTCGACGGGATCTGGGCGGGACCGAATCGCCTCGACTGCTTGCTCTTCATTACTCTGAAATCTCCATGATCCACCTGGACGTGCGCTTGATAGCTCAGGTGAGTGACAGGCTGCGTGTCAACGTGTTGTATTTTAATGTACAATGAATCGAAAAGCCCGTGCATTTGTAAATTATGATTAGTACCGTTTTGCAGTAGAGTAGAAACATCAGATCTAGAAAGGTTATGTCATGCGCAACACTGCTGTGTAGGCTACAGTACGATTGCTTGTTTCAGCTTTAGTGCGCGTACGGATTACAAAAAAGAAAAGAAAAAAATCATGCATGCGTAAAACCAATACAACCTTTTGATCAATGGACATTATAGCCGAATACATCGTAAATGTAATGTATGTGGGTGAGGAAACTGAGAAAAGGACAATTGACTGAAGCAATACCTGTGTATATTCGTTGACAATCACGTCATGATGCATGAAAGAGCGATCGCAGTTATGTCATGTTTTCATATACTGTAGATCGATTGTACTGCTATATTGACTATTACAGATCAAAATCAAGCACAAGCGTAGCGGCTTCTTATGTAATTTGAATGAATGTCTCATATAAGTACTATTTGGCGTTATGTACAGTAGAATATTTGGTTGTCTGGTGTTCTAGCCTTTTAAGCACGTTTAATCTTTGAGGCGTAATACGCATTCTTTGCTCTTTCGTTTTTATTTTTTTATTTTGTGTGTGTGCATAAATTAGGAATTTTGGTTCATTTGTGCTTTTGAGAAATGCAACTACTGCCGTCAGCAGTCTCTTATGCGATGAGATATTCACACAGAACAGAAAACACTTCAAACGATTCAAAACATTAGTTCAATGACTTTCCACAGCATGACAACATTAAGAATAGTAACAGGTATTGGTTCATTTCAAGGTGGATATGGATTAAGTAATCACCTGGTGCATCCACCAATTACTGCAGTCATTTCCACAGATGCGTAGATGACACTCTCTGATAAGTGTGTATGAGACTAGAAATTTTGGGTTGCACAAGGGGTAAACAATTCTCGTAGCCCCTGCTGGTGATAACATTTATGTCAAGCACACTATGTGCAAGATGTGGATGATTCACTAAAAAGAATAGACTGATAAAAGTCATGCACAATCATTAAACATTCAGGTTGATCCAGCTAGTAGCATCTTTGAATGAAGATTGTTGAGACTGAATTAAGATAATTACTCACATGCACAAGTCTAGAAGCAGTTCTAGGACGTTCCTTAAACAACTCCCTATTTATGTAGTCCCCCCCCATTTAAGTAGTTAGTGCACTGGCCATGGAGTTGGCCATTTCTTGGGCTGTCCCACTGTCAAAATTGCTCCACTGCACTGAAATGTTTACTCCCTAAAAATCAGGTTGATGTATTCAAACAATATAAGGTGGTGCATCACTGTTGTCCTCTCGCTTGTCACTGCTCATTTGCATAAAGCTGAGCCCTACTCAGACCAACAGTCTGTCGCTGATTGAAAATAAACGATGTCTGGCCACTTTCATGAGTATCACTTCTTTTCAAAGTCAGGCAGGCTCTCATGGTATCTTTGGATTGATAAATGTGTCATCTGCCACCTCAGTTTGACTGTCAGCCCAAATTAGGTTTTTATATTCCACTCGTAAAATTTGCATAGTTGACGTTTGTGTTTTCTGGCCTTATGTGGCTGTCAAAATTACACTTCTACCACCTGTCTATGCAGTGTATCTAGCAGATTTACAAGCTCACAATATTACAAAGATACATGCACACATATTTGAGTGTTTATGCAAACAGTGCATGTGACATCTCCCTCCCAAACAGTTAAAAAAACACCCCGGGGAGTTGCAAGTTCAGTCAGGCATTCCTACAGACCTCTGCCACAATACTGAAAAACAAGTTCAACTTGAAAGTATTTGATCCTCTGAAGTGTATTGTTCTTATTTAGAGACTTAATACATGCTGGTTTATTTAGTTCTTACAAAACACACAAATGTGGACTGTAAAAAGGGAAGATAGACAGTGAGTTCAGTTATCAAAGATTGTAAATACATTCTGTGTTAAGAAGGCATAACCTTTGCTCTTCTGGGGGCATATTACAGAAAGTTTCTTATTTTAGAGCTTAACTTAAGATGTGATATGTTAAATTAGGATTTTTCAGAAATTCATATTACAGAAGCAAATCTTAACTTGATTTGGGATTCTTATCCTATCTTCCAAAATCGTATCTTATCTCTAGTTAGGAAATCTTAAATTGCATTATCAAGCTCGACAATCCACTCTCGGGTCTGTTACCAAGCAACCAACACTGCGCAAGCTGCTGATGAGGTATACAAAATAATAGAAGCTACTTCACTTTGAAAATCGCCTTTTGCAAAAAAAAAACATAACACCGTGTCTACACCGGTCACGACAGTTGTCGTGTTGCGCCGCGCCGCAACAGCTAAAGTCTGTCTACAACTGACGCAACAAAGCGATCATTGAAAATCATTTGAAATTTGTGTCAATGCAATGCAACTTTTGTCGCTGCATGTCGCCAGGGCCTGGCGATGAGGTTGCTAGTGGGCGTTCTCAATAGGGCTGTGCGATTTGGGGAAAATGTCTAATTGCGATTTTTTTTTGGACAGATATTGCGATTGCGATTTGATTCGGAAGCGCAAGTGTCTGAGAGTGCAAGTCTGAGAATGCAAGTCTGAGAGTGCAAGTGCAAGTCTGCAGCTCGGAATTCATGGCAGCTTTTATTGGCCAAGGCCACATAAGGCCGTTTGACCGACATGTCAAACAACTAATCACAGTTCGTTTCGTTTCAACGTCACGCTTCGGGGCGTGGAAATGTCGCCCCAATAACAGACCGGTGTGTAAAACTCGCGGACGTATTTTAAAAATTCTATGCCGCGTACTTGAAATATTTCACATACTTTTGATAATCCAGCGTTTAGTTGATCCTGACAAGCGCTCATCGTCACAGTTGTAAACACAACGGATTTCTTCTTTCGTGAGGGGGTTTGGTGCCACGGCATCTTTGTTTCCAGGCGGAACGTTAAAGATCGCAACACAGGTCTCCTGGAAATCCTGTATAAGTCAACCGATCTGATGACGACTTCGAAACGCCTGTAGTGTTTCCACTTTTGTGTGCCGTATGCATCAGACGTTCAGCCAACGGTCCGTGGGCGTGACGTCTGAGGCTGACACTATAATTTGCCTAACTATCGATCTGACCCTGTAGACGCCATAATCACACACTCTCTCTCTCTCTCCCGCTTTTTAAATTTTTTTTTTAAATGGTGGGCGTTTATGCAATTGGCTAGAACAGTGCTGATTGGGGAGAACGGAGGGGCGCTCACTCTATTGGTTAGTAAGGCTGCCACTCAAGGCTGGCAGTCATGCATATGCTCTGGAACAGAGTAATATCGTGTCCACATCGCAGGCTTTGCGATTAGCAAACCGCAACGTCTCAAATCGCGATTGCGATGCAATTTCGATTAATCGCACAGCCCTAGTTCTCAATACTGGTTGCCTTGACAGCGAATCAGGTTTCTTGCTGCTAAGTACAAACATTTTGGAGGCAAAAGACTAAATATAATCAAAATTAAATCCGTACATACAAACAAAAATGAATGAAAAACAGAGCCTGCCTACTTCCATTGCGTATGTTTATCTACGGTTGAGAGGAGAACGATCACATGAGCTCTAC